GAAAATCCATCTCTTGGAGCAAACTTAGGAGCACCTGCCAGGTAGTGCTGGTGGTGTGGGACTTTGCTCCAGTGACCTGAGAAACCTAGAGAGATAGCTTTTCTTGGAAAGTGAGTTCAAGGCAGTCACACTATTTGTGACGTAGGTCTTGTCCTGCTTTCAGCCTTTTTTAGCAGGCTGGACATCCCAGAAATACAGGGTGTTGCAAGTTCTGTGAAAAAAGGCACCTGCCTTGAGGAAAGATTAGTTTGCCTGTGTAGGAAAAGCTTCATCAAAGCACACCCTGAAATCCTGAGCTGAGAGGCAACCCCAGAGCTGGTCAAGCCCCCTGATTTCTCTGCTTAGGGGGTGACTTGTTTCTTCCAGATTCCTGGTGCTCAGCAGAGAGCTTGGAGGAGCTCAGCTGTGTTTGGAGTCTGAGTGTCTTCTAGGTATGACCCTAGGTTAGCATCTGCCAAAATCTTGGTGCCTCCCAGTGTACCTGAAGCATGGAGATGACAGGCTGGCAGATTGGATTTCTTGAGGTGACTCTGTAGACTGGCTGTTGAGGTTGCAGCAACATTTGTCCATGTAAAGGTGTTTCAGATCCTCTGGTCCTCCTCTCTTCTGTCCAGCGTGGTGCTGTGTAACCCTCAGTTGGCTCTGGAGCTGCCAAGGGTGCAGGACAATTTCTCTACACTTCTCTAGGCCAGTTCTTCAAGGCAGAGCTTAGCTAGAGATGGAGTCTGTTTTCACCAATACTTCTGTAAAATCCCTGGAAGAGCTTATATTTATATAATTATAAAAGTGTGTCTTGCTCATAAAGCTTATTTTGCTTGCTGAATTGTTGTAGGTTCTACTACAAAGCCTGCTCTTGCTTCTACATTGCATGTGCTTGAGGTTTGCTAAGATCACTAACTGGAAGCTCCTGCAGTAGAGCTTAGATTCAAATTACAGAACAATCTGATTGTGATGTTAATATAATGCCTGGAAGATCAAACCTCCATGTCCTCTTCATGACTATCAGGTTTTCTGAGATAAACACCTTTTATAACCCTTCTGGCAGATTTCTGAGCTGCTGTTCAAAGAGGAAGTTGCTTTCCAGCAATCTCCTTTGGTGCACCCAAAGGCCACTGTCCCCTGCACTGCCATGGAGTTCATTCCGCCCTGTTTCCCTCATATCTTCCTTTAAAGACCAAAAGATCCTTTAACACTCCTTTAAACAGGTGTCTTCCAGGAGGCTGTGAAAAACCATGAGCTTGTGCACCAGCTTTTCCTCTGACTGAAGGTGTTTTCCAAAGAGGACCTCGTTCCTCAGCACCCCTCACCTCCATTGCAACGTCTCCCATTAAGAGCAGAAGAGCCAGGCACTGACAGTCTCATGGCAGTGTGCTGCCTGCTCTGACTCCAGACGGGGCCATCCCATGGATTCAGGAGGGCAGGAAGCCTTTGGAGGTAAGATGTGAGTGCAACTGCCAGCTGAGCATCGCAGGTGCCCTGAGGTAAAACTGTGAGGCTGTTTTTTGGGCTGGAGTGTGACCATCAGCAGGGATATCAGGTGGGGCCTGGGGCATGGCTGGGGCATGGCTGGGGCAGGGATTGCATCTCCCATTCCCACTGGTACGTGACTTGAGCCCAGCCCGGGATTCAGGATTTGAAGCAGCCCCTTTCCATAATGCATCCTCTACTGCTCCTGAAAAGGCTGCTGTAAGGCCATGGGCAGTTTCCCACACCAGCCCTGGCTTGCTGAAGGACCAGGAGGCTCTGGCATGGTGTGGGAGGCAGCTGGGAGTGTGCTGCAGCTGGGGACAGGGTGGAGGAATGTGCAGGCCCTTTCCAAGTGCCTTGGCCCATCAGGAACTTGGCCTGAATTTTCTTCCCCCTCCCGTCTCTCCTATCTGAGCAACTCCTGTGGGCTGTGGGCAGAGATAGGCTCTCCCAGCACCTGGTCTGATACTCCTCAGAGGGCTTGCACAGATTCTTTGTTGCTGCTTCAGGTCAGCTGTGCCAGACAGAAACAAGAAGCAGGTTGGGGGTGTCAGAGGGAGCTGTGCTCTGCTTGCCTGGAGGGCTCCAGGGAGGCAGGAGGTGTGTGATCCTGGTGGGTCTGGAACAAACCTGTGCCCTTCCAGCCCCAGGCATCCCTTCCCAGTGCTCTGCATGAGAAGAGGCTCCATTTGCATGGGGCAGTGGCCAGGCTCTGCTGGGCCAGGGGTGCTCTGGGGGAGTGCCTGGTGGGCAAGGGATTGGTGATGGGCTGTGTCATTCCCTCTTCAGGAGTCATGACTTTTTACATGTTCCTCATGACCAGCTGATGAGGTCGTAGGTCCTGACCTAGAATTGGAGTGTGCTGGGCATTTATAGTGCCTCCAATTGCTTTTGAAGATAAGGGCACATTAGTATTTTATTGCCCCCTTTCTTCATCCAGGGCATCATCCAGAGCGAGAAGAAGAGAGGGGAGGAACTCGCTTCCTTATGACAGGGGATTAGTCACTGCAGCCTGGCCTCTGGTGAGGGGCTGCAGGGCTCCCCACTCCACTGCACCATCCTACAAGGGGAGGGCTCCAGCCCAGGGTCTTGGCACAGCCCTTCCCCATCCAGCCCTCTTCCCACCCCAGCTTTCCCCCTGGCTGGCCCTTTCCCTTGCATCCTGCCCGTGTCCTGAGGTGGTCTGTGCTCCTCTGTGGCTTTCCTGCAAGAAATCCTGGAGCACCCTCAGCTTTTCCCACTGAGCTGGTGAGGGGCAAGAGGCAATCTGAGGGGCCGGCTCTGTGCTGTGCTGCCTGGCTCAGAGCTGGTTCCCTGGGCAGCCTGGGCTCCTGTCCTCTCTGGCCCTGGGCTGGGCCACATCCAGTGTGCCCTCAAGGACTTGGTTTATCGATAATGGGGAACGTGACTATTGCGTGAGGCAGAGATAACCACTGCCACCGCATCCGTGCACGCCTCGTCCTCCCCTTCCCTTCCCCATCCTCTGCTCCTGCTGCTTAAAGTGGAAAATCTTTGTCAACCTGCCTTGCCCTGTAGCCAAGGTTCACATCTGTGAGTGCATTCACGTTGAAGGCCAGGAAAGCCAGAGGGAAGAGACGTTCCTCTCCCTGAGCCCACCCATGCTTAATGTGGGGCTCCCCCTCGGCGGGGCCGGCAGCACAGGGACCTGGGGAAAGGCTCATCCCAGTTTCAGTGTGAGGAGCTCTTCAGCTCCTCTCCTGCTGTGCCACAGCTGGAGCTGGCACGCTGCACCCACAGAACAGGGGTCTGGCATTGCACAGTTGAGAAAGAAGCCTGAGGGGCTGTTGGGGACATTGGGGCCCATTGCCCTGCACTCGTCTGTCCAAACCATGGGTGTTTCTGTACCTGAGCTCTGAGCTCTGCCTGCCTTTGCCTGTGCCTTTCTCCTTCAGGGAAAGCTGTGCAACTCCTTTGAAACCAGAAATCTTCCCTTCTGCTGCTTGAATTGAAATGTTAATAAAGCCCACCACCAATCAAACTATGAACTGAGCATTTCAAATGCCCCTTTGTTTAATTAGTGCAGCCTCTCCCTGCAGACACCGCCAGACTGGAGTGGGAGGCGAGGGCCAAGGACACAGTGCCCAGGAATTCCTCCTCCTCAAAGTGTGACCCCTCATATCAAATATTTTCTTGCTCCTCCCTGCATGAGCTGCCCAGAAACAAAACATTTATGGACGAAGGACCTTTAGAACTTGCAGCATCTCCTGGGGGGGCTGTAGCAAGCAGGTTAAGCCCCTTGCATGACCCAGGGCTCTCTTTTCCCCAGAGCAGCAATAAATAACCCTTGGTAATGGAAATGGGGTGACTGGCCTTTGCCTTGAGATCCAGCCTGGTCCTCTCTAGTGAGCATCACTGGGTCCCTGTGTGGCTCCTTGCTCACTGGGGAGGGGAGAAAGCGTGACCCCCTGTTATCAGGAGCATGCTAACCCCGCAGCAAACATGATTTCACTGGTGCAAGGGTAACAGTGGTGACGTTTCTGTGGGGAACATGGTCCCTTCCTCTCTGGGACCTAATCTAAATTGCTTTATGAGAGGTCAGTAGGTAGAGTAAAACTTGTCCCTGGAGGACAGGGAGCCAGAGCAAGGGTGTCCCTTCTGTGGCATGGCAGGGCAGGGGGTTCTCTTGCATCTGGTAGGGGTACATCAGATGTGTTAAAATGTACTTGGTCCTTGGGGGGCTGTGGGGCTGGGCTTCCTGCACCTCCTCTCCTCCTGCCATGCCCTGGCACGTGCCCAGCATCCCCCAGTGCCACTGGCAGCCTGTGTGACCTGTTATGCTGCTGCACCTGTGTAGGGCTGCAGCTACACAGTGTTGTCCCATCACTGCCAAAGGGTTGTGTGGAGCAGCCTTAGCTCCTGCCTGCCCATCCTTTGCGGCTTTCTGATGTCTCACTGGTGGCATTTTCCCTCCAAAAACAGCCCCTGGAAGGACCTCAGGGCTCAGGACCTGCCTGTGAGACCCCTCTGCAGCTATGTTGGGGCGCTCAGCCTCCACTATGGCCAGCAGCTGCTTCTGGTGCTTGGGACCATGACTACCTGGGTGCCAGTTCTCATCTCCATCCTGGGATGGAGATGTGGGAATGCCAGGGGTCTCTCCACCTCCTGTGGACTTCGATGTGCCACATGTTTCCAGGGGCAGGGAATCCCACTCTGGGCACCCCAGTCCCAGTGACACCTGGGAGCAGAGGAGTGGGGGGAAGGTGTTGCCTGCCATTAGCCCTTAGGAAGCTCTGCTTGCCCCTGCTGTCACCCTCACAGCAGTGGCACATGGCAAACTGTCAGCACAGTGCCCAGGGACAAACTGTGCAGGGGAGTGACCCTCCTCTCTCCCAACAGTGCTCCCACTTGCCTGGGTTCCTGGGGAGCAAATCCATGAGGTGTGGGGCGGGGGGAGGCAGGCCAGAGCAAGGGCCAGAAGCTCCAGGCAGGCAAGCATAGCCCCCACAGTCCACCCTGCTGGGGGAGCTGCCAGGGCCCCTCCATGCCAGAGGAAAGCTCAGATACAGTCTGGCTAGAAAGACAAATTTATTGCGACATCTGTTTGCAACCAGCACTCAACCCCCCCAGCAGCGACTCCGTGATGCCCTTGACCCTGCTGTGATGTCTCCGTGGCCAGGGGGCTGGTCCCTGGGGCCACAAGCCCACCCCTCCCATACAGATAGGTTCATTGGGGCTGCAGGCTGGGGTCCTGCTGTGCCAGGGGCTGCCTGCGGGCTGGCAGCATGGAGCAGGAAACAGAAGCCGGATTCAGGGTCCTTCAAAAACATAAGCCACCAGCTGGGATCTCCAAGCAGTCACAAGGCTCTCAGGATCCCCAGGGAGAGAGCAGGGTTGACCCCCCCACCCAGCACGTGAGAGGGCTGAGCACAGGTGATGCCGCCGTGTCCTCTCCTCTTACCGCTCTCCCTTGGTGCCAGCCCAGGCGCTCTGGGGAGCCGGGAGAGGTGCCAGCCTGGTTCCCACCTGCGGCCACTACACATATCCCGTCAGGTTGTAGGAGTTGACCTCACTCTTGGGCTTCTGCACCTGGCTGACAGAGGGCTGGGGGCTCTTGCTCACCAGCAGCTGGGGCTGGTAGGTGTAGGTGGCTGCTGGGTCCCGGGCAGGGCAGGAGGTGCAGAGGATGAAGCCACCGACGAGGGAGAGGAGGGAGGAGATGATGCCCAGGTAAAGAGCCTCCCCGAGCTCGAACTTCATGCTGTCGGGGAGCACGGGGTTGCGGAAATCCCGCAGCACCACGTGGATGTTCCACACCAGCGGGATGAAGCAGAGCAGCCCCCCGAGGATGAAGACTGCGCCGCCCGCCACTGCCACCCGGTCCTTGCCCGGCGAGCCCTGGTTGAAGACAGTGCACCTCATGCCCACGATGGCGAGGAGGCAGGCGAGGGAGGACACGGCACAGGAGCTCACCATCAGGGCTTGAGCCGCCTGGATGTCGGCAGGCAGGTTGAGCAGGGAGCTGTAGATGTCACACTGGGTGATGCCCGTGCTGTACGTGGCGCACTCCATCCACAGCCCCTTGGTGAAGCTCACGGCTGTCACGATGCTGGAGCCGATGTAGGAGCTGGTCTTCCAGCTGGGCAGCAGCGTGGCCGTCAGCGTGCCGATGTAGCCCAGGAAGGCCACGGTGTAGCCCAGCAGCTGCAGCCCCATGGACACCATGGTGGGGGCCGGCTGTCACCTACCCAGGGCTCGCGGCTTCTCGCCCAGTTCCCTCCTGTGTGCTCACGTTCCCATGGCCCTGCGAGGAGCTCCGCTCGCAGCGCTGCAGCTCCACCCCGCTCCCGGGGCTGCTGGTTTTGTGCAGGGTGGGAGCTGCGGGGAGTTACCTGCAGGAGTGGAAAGCAATCCCTCACAGATTAACGATTGACCCAAGCCCGTGGAGGAGCGCCAAGCGCCCTTTCACCTCCGCTATCTCCCCAGCCAGGCTTCAGAGGCAGAGCAGTGCTGCCCAGGAAGGACGCCAAAGCCCTCCCCTGCACTGACGCCACGGGCAGGGATGGAGAGCCAGCTGCTGGTGGGGGGAAAGTGCCCACGCTCTTCCTGGAGGTCCTTTGTCTCCTGTGATGTCCCAAGACGAGGAAGCCAAACACTGTTATTTGGGACCTCAGGTGGTGACCCTGAGGCTTTCCCAGCAGAGGAAGAGGGATGACACCTCCTCCCCATCTGCAGGGGCTTACCCAAGGCATCTGCAGTCACCCACAACCCACCCCAAGCTGCTGAGGCTCCACTGGGACAATGGGATGTGCCCATCTGAGGTTGAACCATGGATATCAGCCCTTCCACGCTGCTGGGGACAACGATGGAGAGGGATGCATATGACAGTGACACCTGCATCCCCGGGACAGCCTGGAGGTCCACGGAAGGCAGAATCACATCATGGCAAAGAAGGCTTTGGGGATGCTTCTAGGAAGCACCCCAGCTGAGCAGGGTGACCTGTCCCATGGAGGGGTGAGCACAATGGGGTGCAGCTCACGCTGGTTTTTTTCTGCCTGTGCCACCTCCTGACCACAGCCCTGCACGTGGGTGTGGGGGTTGGTGGAGGTGGTGGAGCGAGTTGGTTTGTTTTCCCTCTGCTTTGTTTCAAAATTCCTCCTCCTTCGGTGCCTTGCGAAACCAGACTGAGCCCACACTGCCCTGGCACCACCGCGGCCAGTGGCCTCCGTGTCACCCCGGGAACGCTCCTGGCTGAGCGTGCTGCCACCCCCCAGGGCCTCCGCTCTGCTCCCCGTCCCCCCGCTGCCACCCCAAATGCTTGGCACCAAAGTCTCCCAACTTTCTGCCTCCTCTCCTGTGCACTAACCAAGCCCTCCTGTGCCGTCCCAGGGGTGTTGCTGCAAAAGAAATGCCTGGGGTGCCCAGGGTGATGGCAAAAAGGCCCGGGAGGGCTGTGCCGGGGCTCTGCGGTACTTACGGAGGAGCTGGAGGAGCAGTGCGGGACCGAGGGCGGCTGCAGCCGGGGGTCACCCAGGACTGGAGGCGGCTGGTCGGGGCAGGGTGAGCAGCCAGGGGGATCAGGGGCTGCGAGTTGTTTAGCTACAGCTTTGCAAAATCCACCTGCAAATCTCCGCCTGGATCAGAGGCTTATTGCAGATCGGAATTAAACCCCTTTGGCGTCGGGAAGGATTGGGGAGCTGGGATGCCTTGTTTTGCTTGTTGTTTATGAATTATCAGGGTAGGTTTTGAGTAACTGGCTCGGGACTGACGCTTGCTGTCACGCTTCTGGCCAGCCTTAGTGGCTGGCAGGTGACTGTGTGCCACCATCTGTGTGCCCGCTCTGGGCAGGGCTGCCTGTGTGGGGTTGGAGGGGCAGTGAAACACAGCAGGTTCAACTCCACATGCCTCAGAGTAAACCTGGGCTGTTGGTTCACTCTGCCTGGCCCTGCTTGTCCTCCGCGGGGTTTGTTGTTGTAAGACTACTGGCCCAAATGAGGAGCAAATGGAGAAGGTAATGAGGGCTGTGCTGGCCCCGTGCCCCCTCCTGCTCACCGGCTGCCACAGATGGAGAGGGGCAGGGAGGGCCCCTGGTGACAAATTGTGCTCAGAGCCGAGCAGGGTCCGGCCGGCGTTTGGACAGGGGTGTTTGGATGCTGATAGCAGAGCTACAGTGGGGACCATTTGCTATTTTCTTTCCTTGTCCCAAACTGAAACATTCCCGGGAGCAGGAGGTGACCTGTCTGTCAGTGGCACTTTGCCTCGAGCGCTTGGGCAGGAGCAGTGGGCAGGGAGGGGATGGGGGGCAGTGCTGAGGGGCATCAGCCTTGCACCCTCGTATCAAGAAGTTTTTCTGTACCTCCCAGTGTGGTCTCAAAATGCCAAAGGAGAGGGCAGGAAGAACAGGCTAGTGTGTGCTTTCCCCAGCGTGGGGAAATGGGACCTGGCAGCTCCTTGGGACAATGGGCCATGGATGCCTGAGCAAGATCACTGCCCTGCCTCTGCCTGGGGTCCAGCCCTGCCACCTGTCTTCCCTCCCTGTCCTCCCTTGATTATCCCATCACTCGCCTCCTGGCTGCTCTGTGCTTGCCTCCAATGCAGCCCATCCCACTGTCCTCATCTTGCCTGTTTTACTGTCCCCATCACAAGCCCCCCACATTGTCCCCATGGCATGCCCACCGTGCAGTCCCATCTCATGCCCATCATGCTGCCCCAACGCTCTCCATCCCTTCCCCCTCCCTTATGTAAAGGGCTACAAAGAACTCTTAATCATCCTTGTTAATTGTCTCTGCTCTCCCTTGTTCCCCCCCTGGGGATTTTCTCACGAATGGTGTCTAACTTTTCCCTTGTGTGTTTTGCTTTTCCACCAGAGATCGCAGCCCCTCCGCCCCCAGCCCCCCCCTCCGCCCTCTGTTTACACAACTGGGACAAATTTCACACCGCAGGGACTGCTGTCCCCACACCCCCAAGTCCTTTGCTCCCCTGCCCCAAAGAATTTGTGAGTCACCGCCGACGCAGGGCTATAAATGTGTCCTCACCGAGGGTCTGTAGCGTCAGAAGGGACAGTGTCTCCTGCCACCATGCAAGCTGCTGCCTGTTGCCTCCCTCCCCACGGGCTCCGGGTGCCTGTGGCCACTGCTTGCCCAGCTCTGGGGCTGGAGCAAGGGGGAAGGTACTGCGCTGCCCGAGGGGAGGGGGGAGGCCGGGTGTGCATGGAGGGTGGGATGGGGAAGGCTCCAGCTGGATTTGGGTGAAGGCTGCGCTGGTGGGGACCCCTCTGATCTCAGCGGCCACGGGTGGGACAGAGGGTGCTGGCACCCGGGCAGGGGCTGTTCGGGTGGGTGAGAGACTCTGGGGTCGTGGTGGGAGGGGCAAGGCAAAGGGGAGCGGGCCAGGGTGGGCGGCTGTCGCGCTGAACCTGCTGTCTCACCCAGACCCCTTCCTCTCTGGAGACCGTGGCTGCCCCGAGCCCAGGAGGGACCCGGGAGGCGGCGGGAGCAGACGGACCCTGTGAGTTTGTCACTTCCCTACTGTGTCTGTCCCCGTGTCCCACAGGTTGGGGTCCCTGTTAGGCAGAAAACCAGCCTCTCTCCCCGGAGTCTTTTCCCCCAGAGTCCCTCGCCGCCGGCACTGTTGCACTGTGGTGGTACCGTGCCCACCTCCCCTGGTGCATCACCCCGGTGCCCCACGCCGGGGCAGGGACAGGCTGATCCCCCGGGGGGCCACGGCCAGCACAACCCCCCCAGCAGCCTGAAAGGGCCGGCTGTTTGCAGCCCGGGCGGGCATTCCTCAGGGGGTTAGCGGGATGCCTGGGCACGAGCTCCTGAGCACGGGGGGGAGATTACCCTGGCACAAAGCCTGCCTCGGGGCGGGGGGAGGGAGATGCCAGCTTCCTTTGCGGGGATGTGAGCGCCCCAACTCAGGGGGGATCTGCCGGGTCTGCGGGGGGGGAGAGCGCAGCCCCTGGTGCCAGCTGGGTAAGGGGGGAGCAGGAGCCACTGGACAGGGACCACCCGGCTGTGTCTCCTCAGGCTCAGACTCGGGACGCAGTGAGGGATGGCGGCCCCGACAAAGCGCTGTCTTTCTTCCGGCACCCGGTCAGGTAGGAGCCCCGGCACGGTGCCCCGGGGGACGTGGGGCCGGCGGCGGGCTCACCCCGGCTCTTCCCGCACAGGCTCCTCTGGCCCAAGTCCAAGGCCTTTGACCACCTGTACGGCGTCGGGGAGAAGCTGCTGGAGAACTTCCCGGTGCAGGCCACCCTCTGCTTTTATGAGGACTCGGGCAGCGAGGAGGAGGAGGAGGAGGAAGAAGAAGAGGAGGAGGAGGAGGAGGCAGGGGATGTGACAGCGGGTCTCTTGCCGCAGGCTGGTAGCGCCGGCCCCGGCAAGCCGCTGTGAGACGGCAGACAGGGGCAGGCGGACCCTGCTGCGAGCGGAGCGGGCACAGACCCCGCCCGGGGCTCTCCGCCCGCCCCCGGGGCCGCGCCCCGGGCTGTGCGGGGACGGCGCCACCGCGCGGGACTACAACTCCCAGCGGCCACCGCGACACCGCCCGGCAGCCGCAGCGCGCCCTCATTGGCTGTCGGTACGAGCCGGGCCGGGGCAGGAGCGCGTAGCCCCGCCCACTGCCCGCCTCGCACTCCTATTGCAGGAGGGAGGCGGGGCGCGCGCGCCGCGGAGCGGCGCGATTGGCTGAGGGGCGTGTCGGGGGCGGGGCCTCATCTCCCCTCCGTGCCCGCCGGCGGGAGGGAGCGGCTGCGGCGCGCGCGGGGCCGCCATGAGGTACCGGCGGGGTTGGGGGCGGCGGGCACCGGGCGGGACCACCGGGGATGGGGCTGGCGAGGGGTCTCTGGGCTCTCAGGGAAGAGCAGAGTGGCAGAGCCGCGGGGAGACGTGTCGGTGGGGCGGGGGGGGGAGTGTGGTGTGGCAGGGGCTCGCCCGGGGCTGGGAAGCCCCCGGGCAGGTGAGCTGGGGGTCCCTGTTGTGGGGTGACAGGTGAGCTGGGGGTACCCGCCGTGGGGCGGCTCTGGGAGCCGAGGGCGGTGGGAGTAATTTGGAGCTGGGTTTGGGCACGGAGGGGCCGGGGCGGAGGCTGCCGGGGCAGCCGGCGCGGGGAGCGCGGTGGGGTCTGGAGGCTGTTTTGGGAGGACGAGGCTTCCCGTGGGGATCCCACGGTCCCTGTCCGGTGTAGCCTCTTCTCACGGTGGATCCTGGCACGGAAAACCCCCAGTGCTGGATCCAGCTGAGCCGCTGGTACCGCGGCTACGTGATGCCGGCAGAGTCAGCATCCTCCCTGCGCGGCGCGGCGCGGCATGGGGGGCTGTGGGTCCCCCTGCCCTGGACCTGTGCCCCCCCAGCCTGTCGAGGAGATGCCATCCCCCAGTGTGGACCCCCCAGGCCCCCTCGGGGGTCGGCACCACGCGTTGCACCGTGTTTTCCCGGCACGATTTCCTCCTCTGGCGTCGGTGACGGGAGCGGGGGCGGAGATGGGGGAGCCTGGGGGAGACACAAATGTGCGACTGCAGCATCCTCACTCCCATGGCTGCATCCCTCGCGCCTCCTCACGGTTGCCTTGGCAACCTCCTATCGATGGGGTATTTATAGAGGATGGGAAGCCGGAGGGGGGGACCGGGAATGGGTGGGCGTCTGCTGGGTCAGCCTCCAGCTTCAGGCTTCTCTCAGCCTGCGTGGCTGTGTGGGGGCGGGAGGGATGCTGCTCCCCTTGGCGTCAGCGTGTGTGGTGCTCCAGCTTTTCCTGCTCGCAGGAACCGGGGGAGGTGGTTGAGGAATTTGCACGTGGAAATAAAAATAAGTGTCTGGGATGTGTGCCCTTCTCACCGGCATCGCTCGTGCTTCTGGGCTTGTGTGGACCTGCCTTATTGTTTGCACTTGGAATAAACCACCCCTGAGCTCTGACGCTGGGAGCGTTGACACAGATGCTTGGAAAAAAATGAAAGACTGTAAATTAAATGAAACGACGTTGAATTTGTTGCCTGATGAATGATGTGGGTTATGGAGCTGGGGATCCCGACAGATCCGGTCTTGAATATCCTCATTTCTGTGTCTCTGTCCTCCTGTCCATCAAAGAGGGGGAATGCCCATGACAGCGAGTGCTTGTGTGGGAACTGTGGCATGTTCTCTGCGCTGTCCCTTCTTTTATCCTGGGGGTTTGGGTCTCTTTTTAAAAAGTGATGACAATAAAAGCGGGTCAGGTGGTCCCTGCTTAGAGCTGACGCATCCTGCCGGGGAATGCATGAATCCAGGGGTCTGTGGGGGAATCCATGGATCTGGAGAGCAGTGGGAGAATACATGAATCTGGAGGCCTCTCACATCCTCCAGGAGGGCTCACAGTAGCAGGGCTGGGCTGGGGGGCATAGGAGGCAGCAGACCCCTCCTGTGCAGTCCTGATGCTCTCCTGCTTTCTCTCATTCTTGCTTCAACTCCAGACTGAGGTTTGCAATCTGAGCTTTGCAAACTGTTGGGAGGAAGCTGCTTTCTCCCTCTGGAGACAGGTCCAGGCTTGCTTGCCCTCTTGCCACTTATGGTGTAGGAACCTTGGAAACCACGGGAAACCTGATGTTGGCAGAGAGAGGTGCTCCATTTACTGGAAGGTGGCTGTTGTGACGTGTGGTGCTGCCTGCTGTGATGGTGTGTGGCACCAGCCCTTCTGTGTGTCTGGGTGCCTGACTTTTATGTGGGAGGAGAGCTGTGTTTCCAGCCCTGCTGACCCCGTGGATGGCTCTGTGCTGTCCCTGGCCTCGCTCCTGCTGAGCGGACCCAAGGGCTTTTGGAATAACTGAGTATCTGAAGTCCTGGACCTGAGACCAGCATGTGGTTTAGTTCCTGCTGTTTCTAACTGTGTTTGCTCCTTCATCCACAATAGATCACTGTAGGAGCTGTCTCCTGACAGAGTGGTGGCTTTGCCACAGCAAGATGTCACATGAAGTGAGGCTTAGCCCAGGGTTGTCTGATCCATGGGGAATTGAGCACAGGGAGAAGGCAAAGCATGAAAAACAAGTAGATGACACTCCTCCTGCAGGCAGAGAGGAGTATCCTCTCCTTCTGCAGGGCTTTGCTTCACTCTTGTGGGGTTTTGTTTACTATAGTTTTGCTCTTTAAGCAAAAAAGGTGCTTTTCCAGCTGGAGAGCTGCTGTCCTGGGCATGCAGGGAGCTCTGTCACTCTTTCTGTTGCCCTTACAGAGGCCAAACAGCCTTTAGGAGATGCATGTCCTTTTCTTTCCTGCTGTGTAGTCAGCTTGATGGCAGTGGAGCAAACTGTGTGGCCCTATTTATTGCAGATTGTGGGTAGGAGTTGCAGGAGTGAGAACTGGCACGGCTGTGACATTGCTCTAAAACAGGATGACTGCTTTACCTGTATCCATCAATCTCTTGTAGAAGGGAAGAGCACCAGGCTGTTCCCAACAGCTTCTGACACGGCAGGTCATCGTGTCTGCTGATGAGAAATGTGGTCTCTCCTTCATCCAGTTCTTCCCTTCCTACTTTGCACTGAGCTGCTTGGGCAGGGCCAGTGGGCTGGGCCCTGGTCCTCCCTGGGCTCCCAGCACTCCAGGAGCTGAGGGTCCCTGAGCCCCTCCAGCCATGCAATGAGTGGGGAAGCAGCTGGAGTCCTTGGCTCTCTGCAGGGGCACTGCTTAGCTGGGATCTGTCCTGGGTCCACCAGTCAGCACCCTGCTTTCTGCATGAATCTGACTCTGGGTGATGGAGGTCTTGGGCTTTAGGGGGTGATTTAATCTGTCAGTGACTGTCCCGTTTTCTTCCCTGCAGGTAGGCAGGAGCCCCCCGTGGCCGAGTGAGGCAGCATGGCAAGTAAGTGCTCCCCAGGCAAGATGGAGAGGTGGCAGTGGTGCTGGAGAGGAGAAGGGGGATGTTTGGCAGCCATCTCTCAGGGAAGGGGGTGCCTGTGCTTTTTGGGGGGTGTTATCCTCTATGGGGAGCTGATGCCATCAGCTGTTACCCCTGGATGAGGTCTGAGGTCTGGCCTGACTTGTGCTTCTCTCTCTCCTCTGCAAGGTGGGAGTCAAGAGGAGGTGCTGAAGGTCTGACCTCTCTGGGACTACCCAGAGGCCACAGCATTTCTTTCTGTGTGTGGTGCTTGCTGTGCAGGACGGGCCTCCCCGAGGCTCTGTGGGCTGACCGGCCCCTCCGCAGGGGCTGCCGGCCTGCTCTGGCACCTCCCAACTCCCTGCTCTGCTCTGCCACCCCTCCAGTGCCCACCCAGGGGGCCACACTGCCCTGGGGCCTGTGTGCTGGTGGCACTGGGGCTCTGTGTTCCTGTGGACGTGGCACCCCCAGAGGAGTGCCTGGACAGCGGGTCTGAGGCTGGCGAGGGTGCAGGGTGGAGGATGGCGTGTGGGCTGTTCAGAGCCGGGCTCAACCCTCCCTCCTCGCTCTCCTGGGCAGCCTGTGCAGAGGCTGCGTGCAGCGTGTGCTGGGAGCTCAAGGAGCATGGCAGTAGTGAGTGGAGAGACACAGAGATCTGTCTGGGATCTCAGGATTTGCTCGGAGTGTCGCCGGAGCCAGCGGTGAAGGTGGAGGCAGTGTCCGTGCTGAGGAGGAGGACCCCAGGGATGACAGGTATGCTTTCTTTCATTATGTGTGCTGTGCTGGGTGGGGGAGGGAGCAGAGATCTTCAGGCAGTGTTTTTAAAAGGCTGCTTTAATCTCCAGTTAATGAGGAGGGTGCCCAGCTGGGTCCCTGCCTTCCTGCACTGCTGCCTTTTCTCCCTCCCAGAGCTCAGGGGCTGGCTCACCAGCATTTCTTGGTTGTGGAAGGTGTCCCCTGTGGTGGCAGTGTCCCCTGCCAAGTCAGCCCTTCACGGTGACCCTGACGTGCAGGAGGGGGATGTGGTGATGAGCCTGTTCCCCATCACATGCTGTGCAGCAGCGAGCAGCCCCGTCTGTCCCTCTGCAGGCACAGCTGCGTGTCCTTCTCCAGAGAAACAGCCCTGGGGGTTCCCCCAAGCTGGGCAGCCGAGACGTGGGCTGGTGTCCACCAGGGGCCATCAGCAGCCCAGGAAAACCAGCAGGGATGAGGTGAACCCAGCCCTCAGTCCTGCTTCCCCCGCCTAAAACTCTGATCTTTCCTGAGCACCGGTTCTCCAGCTGGTGTGGGGAGACTTGGAGAGGCACAGGGGGTCAGTGCTGAGGGTGCTGGGCCTTGGGAAGTCCCCTCAGCCCTGGGGCTTAGGGACAGGACCTGCTCTGCTGTCTGCTCTTCATGTCAGTTGGGGATCCAGGTTGGGGATGAGAGGCTCTTGTTTCCTGAAGGCCTGTGTGATTTTCCTGCTCTGGTCCCCAGGCACGTGGGAGCTCTTTGCACTTTCCATGTAGCAGAGGAGAGGGAGCAGTGACTTAGTTTCTGCTCTCCTGCCATTTGTAGGAAATCGCATGTGGGGAGAGACACACCCCTCTGTCACAGCATGCTTAGAGTTGGGACACTGCTCGTGATACCTGCCTGCCTGTGTGTCTGTTTTTATTTCCCACCATAGTGGCCAGTTCAGCACAGCAAAGCAGGGAAGGGGTCAAGTGACCGGTGTCTGCAGGGATGGAAAGCCCTGACAGTGAGATCTGCAGCCAAGCTTGTTGCTCCAACGTGTGCTGAGGAAGTTGGAAAGAGTCTCAGGCTCAAGTGCTGAGGAGGGGAGAGTTCACACCGCAGCCTGATCAAGGTGGGAGGCAAAGGAGGTGAGGCCAGACTTCTCCAGCAAAGGATGGGACATTTGCAGAATGGGTGCTGTTTCTGTAAAATTTCATCTTCTTCTGGAAAGGCTCAAGAGGAGGTCGGCCTGACAGCCTGCTCTCTCTCCAGCCAGGATAACCCTCCTCAACTGTGAAAGCCAAGGCAAGCTGATCCCTGCCTGCCCTTCTGTGAGATGCCTTCTGTGCCTCTTGAAAATGCTTTTTCGGTTATCCTTGTAAAAAAACAAAAAAAAACCAAAAAAAAGGTTTGCATAATAAAGTCGATTCTGAGGGAAGATCTGTGACTCACATCATTCATGCTGCTCTTCATTCACACCTCAGTGGTTCAGCCTTCTGCAAACTCTCTCACTGAAGCAAGGCATTAATAAATCACGAGGGGAAAATGCACCTACACGGCACAAAAGGAGCACAGTGCCTCCAAGCCCAGGATGGTGTAGCACAGCAGTAGTTGCCTCTCACACCATGATCTCATCCCTGTTGATATTTACAAATACTCTCACAAACACCTTGCTGTATTGTTTTAGGAGCAGGATATGTGGAAGGTAAAGCAGAAGGAAAACTGCCTTTCTCCCTGGCAAAAGGCTCCTAAGGAAAGAAGTTGGTAGCTTTCCACTGACTGTTGTGTTTGATCTTCACTGAGATCCTTGTTGAAGGAGTATTTCTGTGTTAGCACCAAGCTGGTCACGTGGGAGACTCCGTGTGTCCCCCTGCCTCCTTTTCCTGCATCTTTGATGCTGCTGCTCTGTGAATTGGTTCACCTTGTTGATCCAATGGAAGACTAAGCCTGAGGGTGAAGGAGGTAAATATGTTCCTGTGGATCAGCCAGCTGAACCAATTCATCTTTCTCAAGGGAAGCAGCATGATTTTGTGGCGTGGTGGGAAGAGATGGGGTCAGCCTACAGCTGAGTGTGTTGAGCTGCATTGTGGAAACACTCACTCCTGAAATGTGTGCATGGGATGTTTGGATCCTGGGAGGATCATGTTTTGTGTGAAGTTTCTGCTTTCTGGGCAACAGCTTGTTTGCCTCCTGTGCTGCTGCAGGTCCTGGTAGGTGCCTGCCTGCTGTGCCCCATGGGGGTCTCCTTCCTGCAGAATATGTGGGGAGAGGCTTTGATGTCTCTCTCGCAGGCAGGAAGGTGCTCTTCCTGCTCACTCTGGCTTCCTGACTGCATGCTCTGTGGGAACACCTGAGGAATCTCCCAGGCTTTGGGAGCAGAGGAAGGTTTGTGAGGCCTCTGCACCAAAACACAGCAGGGATGAGAATGTGATGAGAGGAGAGGTTGTTCAGGCCCCCCTCAGTACCTGAGTCATGACCCCCTGTACTGTCCCCGTATGTTGGGGATGTTTGCTCTTGTTGGCCTGGGAGAAGACACAGTGGTTTCTCTAGGACCTGAGCAGAGTCCTTGAAGCCACCTGAGCCTGCATGACCCCTCAGCAGCTGACAGCAGGGCCAGCAGCTCCCAGCAGGCTGTCGTGCAGTGAACTGTGTGCTGTGAGTCCCTCTCGTGCCAGAGCCCTGGCTCTCCATCCCAGCCCTGCAGGGTCTCCCTTGCCTGGTGGGATCTCCTTTGCAGCAAAGAGGCAGAAAGGTGAAGTTCATCACGGGCAGGAGGTTGACAACAAGTATTTTTGGAACCTTCTGTCGCTTCTTCAGTTACCCTGTGTGGCTGCAGCTGCTGCTTCCAAAGTCTCCAGCACCTCAGCCCCGATGGAAGGGCTCCTGGTGCCATACATCTCTGGGCAGACCCCAAGAGCCCTGTGCCCCTCTGGGTGTGCTGTCCCACAGTGGGCACTCTGCTGTGCCACCTCATTTGTAGCCCTGGGCTTTTGGTGTTGGGAATGCCTGTAGCACCAGGAAGCCAGGTGGGAAAGCCTGGCTGGGCAGAGGCCAGGTATGGGGTTGTCCCTGCTCAGCACATCTCTGCCTTGTGTGTTGCAGTGTTCTTGGGGGCCAGGAATGCCCACTCGGTCCTGAAACGCTTTCCCAGAGCCAATGGCTTCCTGGAGGAGATCCGTCAGGGCACCATCGAGCGGGAGTGCATCGAGGAGGTCTGCAGCTATGAGGAGGTCAAGGAGGTGTTTGAGAACAAGGAGAAGACGGTGAGTTTGTCCTGCCCTGCTCCCCAGTGGATGTGTGAGGGTTCACACTTCAGCAAGCTGGAGACAGAGAGGGAAAGCACAGGGGGAACAGCCTCTCCTGTTTCTTTTGTCCTCTTCTGTCTGCAGGCAGCATGCTGTGGCCTCACTTTCCAGCATGGCTTTCCCTTCTAGGCCACTGCCTTGGTTGTGCCAGGACACCCCGCCCACAGCTGCAGGTCAAGCTGGCACTCCCATGGCACCTGGGAAATCTGTGCTGTTGTCCCTGACTCTCCAGCCTGGGGTTGGTGTGAGCTAAATTTCTCCCTGCTTGGTGTGGGGGCTGTTGGCCACTGTTGAGGGATGTTCCCATGACCATCTTTGTTGGTTCCTACAGCACCTCAGGCGAAAGTGGTGGGGGACATCCGAAAAGCTGCCCCTTTTGTGGGCCCGGGGAAGGCAGTGATTACTGCTGGTGGTGGTCAGGGGGTGCTTCTCCCACCTGCAGCACATGATGGTTGTTTCTCTGCTCCCGCCACAGATGGAGTTTTGGAAGGGCTACACCAACTCCGTCTACTCTGTCAAGGACCCTGGGCACAGCACGGAGCGCTCTGACGCCATGTATGTGGTGGTGCCCCTGCTGGGAGTGGCCCTTCTGATAGTCATCGCCCTCTTCATCATCTGGAGGTGCCAGCTTCAAAAGGCCACCCGCCACCGCCCTTCCTACGCCCAGAACCGGTACCTGGCCAGCCGGACGGGACGCAGCCTGCCCAGGGTCATGGTGTACCGGGAGCGCTCCCAGAGCCAGGGGGAAACCCAGTACCAGCGGGAAGCCAGCAACCGGGGGGCTGGAGACGGCAGAGCTGGGGGCACCCCCCCCCAGCAAGACAACACCCTCTGCCTGCCAGAGCACTCGGTCTCCATCCTCTCCAGACTGTCCAGTGCCACCCCCCCGCCTTCCTACGAGGAGGTGACGGGCCACCCGGAGAGCAGCAGTGGGGAGGAGACCAGCGTCTCCTACAATGACCCGCCGCCCAAGTACGAAGAGATCGTGGCCACTGCCCCTGCCACGGGCAAATAGCGGGTCTGCCTCCCTCCTGCCTCTTCACACACTCACACCCACCCACCCGCCCTCCCTTCGCCGTGCCTGGGACCCCTCCCGGTGTCCGTCGGGCCCCCGCCTCACCTGTACAAGCTGGTGCCATCACACAATAGCCTTACCCTCCTAACCAAAAATAGCTGTCCCCAGGTGGGGTGAGGCCGGGCTGTGGGGGTGGCTCTGGAGCCAGCCAGCCATCTCCTGCCCCTCACTCCCCACTCACGTAAGTGCTGTAGCAGCCAGAGCCGAGCAGCAGCTTGTTCCTGGCTCAACGCGGGGGTCTCCCCATGGTGCATTTGATTCCTTCACTTCCCCCTCGAGTAGACATAACATTTCCCATGATTAGAACAGCCTCGCTGCCTCCCTGGGCTGCTGCCCAGCCTTGCCCCATGTCCCCACTGGGCCCTGTTCTGCTCAGGGCTCTGATTAGGAGTTGGGGATGCAGGATTGGTGTGGCAAACCTCTGTCCATCCTCACAGTTGGTGTCCACGCTCTCTGTTTGGGGAGATGGTTCTTCCCCTGTGTGGATTTGTTGCCAAGTGGGAGTGGGGAGCCCAGTCCATACTCTGGTGCCTGTAGCAATATTTGCTGTCTGGAGATCAGGGAGGAGCAGTAAGGAAGGTGTTCTCCTAGATCCCTTTGAAAAGGGGGAAAGGCTCACGGTGGTCTTGTACCTGAGGTAAGTGGCTTTGGAGCAGCAGAGTCTTTTCCTGATGCTCTCTGCTTTCCCCCTCTGGGTTGCTGGGCAGCTGGAGGTCTGGCTGTGGCAGAGCTGGCCAAGAGGGTCATCTCTGATCCCAAGCCAAACATGGTCCCATGGCTTTAAGTGGCGAGGATGCTCCTTTCTCCTGGAGCGTGGCCTGCCTGGTGTCTTCCCCAGAGGTGGGATTCTGGCACAGGGAGCCTGCGGACAGGCCAAACCTCCCCTCTCCCTACCCCAATCCGCCCTGTCTGACCCCTCTCTTTGGGGTTCTTTCTCCTTCAGATCAGGTAAAGGGGAATGTGAGTACCCACTCTCCTGGCTCCTCTGGTGGGCAGAGTGCTCGGTGGCCGGGGCTGTGGATGGGGGGCTTGCTGACAGGGATGGGAGCCATGAGACCATGCCTCAACCTGGCCATGCCAGGTGGGAGCAGGGCCAAGCCCTGCCTGGGTGATTGTGGAGCCAGGGCAAGGCAGAGCCGGGTGCTTTGCTGTGGGACCAGAGTATCCCTTTTTGCTGGGCAGCTGCCTTTGGGGTCCAAACAACGGGGCTGTCCTTTCCCAGTCATGTCTGATGGATTAAAATGGGGGTTGTGCTCACCAACTCCCCAGAAACTTCCAGCACTGCCACCACTCGGTGTTCACCCCAGCACCAGTCTCTCCACCAGCACCAAAAGGCTATTGTCCATCCATTGCAGGTGGCCTGCATACTGCTCGGTCCCAGTGATGCTCTCGCAGCAGGTGCCCTCAGCCCAGAGCTGAGACTTGCCCAGCATGGCTTTCCTGGGGCAGGACATGCTGGCACCTTGTCTGTCCCCTCCCCAGCCTTAGCAAATCAAGGTTATGGGGAGACCAGAGCCTGGAAAAGACCGGAGGGAGACAGCAGGGCTCTCTGCATCCTCTGTCTTTGATGCTCAGTCATTATCCCTGCAGTTTGTACTCTGTAAAACTTGGTATATTTCTGTGCAAAAAAAAAAAGGTATTTATTAAAAAACCCTCACTGTATAACGGCACAGGGTGGCTTTTTCCCACAGAGGGTGTCGTGGTTTATACCCAACTGCCAACTCAACCCCACACATCCACACAGTCCCCCCTCGGTGGGATGGGGGAGAGAATCAGAACAGTAAAAGTGAGAAAACTCGTGGGTTGGGATAAAGACGATTTCATGAGTAAAGCTCTGCATGCAAGGAAGGCAGAAGAAGGAATTCATTCACCACTTCCCATGGGCAGGCAGGTGCTCGGCCATTCCAGGACATCAGGGCTCTGTCACACATAGCAGTGACTTGGGAAGACAAAATGCCATCACTCCAAACATCCCCCCTTCCTTCTCCCCCAGCACAGGGGGAATGTCTCACTGGGCACAGCTGGATTTCCATCCTGGGGGGTGCTGGGGCTCAGCTCTGTAAGGCAGCCATGGCAGCTGTGGGACGATGGATGACACCAATACCCTCCACTACGGCACAGGACAGTCCCCAGGGAGGATGGGAGGGTCTCTGGAGAAGGAATGTGTGCTGCTGTGGGGCTGGGAATGAATCCCATGCATCCAGCCAGAGCCTTGGACTTCCCTGGGCATGTGTGCGCTTCTGAGTGAGAGCTGGAGGGTGTCCTATGAGCCCCGACCAGTGGGCAGGTTAGGTGCAGAGGGTTTTCCTAAGGTCTTTGAGGGGACTGAGGTGCACAGGTTGTCCTGCTGTTCCTTTCTGTGCTCCTAAACCCCTTAGATAATCCCCTTTAAATAGCAAGACTAGGGCAGCGGGGGATTTATTTTAAGTCCTTTCAAACCTAGATTTTACGGTCAGGTCTTGGACCCTGTCCCCATTCAGAAGTGTTTAAAACTGTCTTTAATCCCAAACGGATCATTTTATCGCCGCGGAGAGGCCGAGATTAGCTCCGGCACAGCTCGGCACAGCCCGGGCTCCGGGCCGGGGGCTGCGGGCCGGGCACGTCGCGGGGGTCGCGTGTGGGTGAGGACGGGGACGTGGTGAAGGTCCTGGGTTTGCTTCTGCCCCCGGCAAGAGCAATTCCACCCCTCCAGCACACGGCTGAGCTGTCCTGGGGACAGGGGGGCACAGGGAGGGTCCGGGGGGGGGGACACACACCAGGATGAGGCGCAGCCCGTTAATTATTGGCTGCAGCTTTAAGCGCGGAGGGGCGGGAGGGCTGTCGGGGCCGGGCTGGTTGGGGAGGGCTAATTACCGGGGGGGCCGGGCTGATTACCGGAGAGGGCTGGTCTAGTTACCGGGGGGGCCGGGTTGCCTCTGCTGGTACCGCCCCGTCCCGGCAGCGGGCGCGGCTGTTTACAGGTCCGACAAGTTGCGTTGGTCTGCGAAAAAAAGTAAGTTTCCCCCCCCGCACCGCAGTGCGCCCCTTGTCCCCCCGCAAAGCCGGTGGGTGCCGCGGCCGGGGCCGGGGCTCTGCGGGCAGCCCCGGACAGCGGGAGCCGCTGGAGCGTCCCCCGCGGCCGGGATGTCCCCCCAGGAGGACGTGGGATCCCCCCCGCGCCCGCCCCGGCCGGGTCCCCTCCCGCGTGTCCCGAGCTCCTTGCCCCGCGCGGGGGTCAGAGCCCGCGGTCCCCGGAGCCCGTGCCGGGGGGCAGCGGGCTCACCCCGAGCCGGGTGACGAACCCTTTCCTCTCCCGCTGAGCCTCTCTCTGCCCCGGTGAGCCGCTCCCCGTGCCGAAGGGCAGAGCTGAGAGCAAGCCACTGCTCCCTCCAGCGCCCCATCCCGAGAGGTGGAGGGGGGCGCTGGACCAGGCTGGTACCCCGCCTGCCTTGTTTGGGGTGTCCTGGGCTGGGGAGGGACAGAGAGAGGGAGGTTGTAGAGTTTCCTTCCCCGAGGCAGGTTTTCCTGGCTTGCAGGACTTAAACCTACTCGGGCTTAGTGAGCCGGAAATCCCTGTCACTGCAAATCCAAGGAGAAGTGCCAAAGCAGAGGCTGAGCCTGTGCCGGTGAGCGGGGGGTGTGCTTGGCAAGAGCTAGAAAAAGCCCTGAAGAAAGTTAAAGGAGGAAATCCAGCCACTTAAGCATTTTGTTCTTATGGGTTTTGACAGCTATTTTTTTTCCCCTTTTCTTAATAGCTTAGTCTCTCAGAGCCTGCTTCTCACCACCTCCCATCCCTTTGCTCCTTGGGAGCTGCAGTGGTTTCACAGGTGATTAGAAAATGAACCCATCTGCCCTCTCCAGATTTACTGTTATTAATATATGCTGGTTTCCCGGAGAACAGCCTGAGAGAGCAACACAGGGTGTTCACCAAAAATGTGAAGGAGAAGCTCACAGAAGGAAGGCTGTGTACCATGGGCTGGGTGTCTGATGCAGGTTTCCCTTGTGGGACTGACACCCCTTTGGGACCAGCCCAGGAACTGCTGTCCTGTTCTCAAGTGGGGGGTTCCTGCAAAAATCCACTTTCTTTAAGGTTTTGGGAAGAAGCAGGGTGTGTGTGTGTCACCCACCCATGGCAGTGTTGGTGCTGGGGAAGGTGTGGGACAGCCAGGGGCTGCTCGGCCCCCCACACCGTGTCTCCAGCAGTGCCTCTGGAGCAGACCCAGTGCAGGGACAGGGATGAAGTGTCAGCATGGCTGGAAGCAGGAAATCGTTGCTACTGATGCTGGGCAAATGCCTGTTTGTAGTTAAAAGGTTTTTAATGACATAGGAGGAGAGAGCATCACAAGGCAGGTGATCACTGGAAATGCTGGTTATTGCAGGTGTGGAGCTGGTTCTGCCACCCTCCTCTACCTTGCTCTCATCCAGCTTCACCCTGTTTGGCTTTGGAGAGGGAAACCTCTCCTTCCTCCAGCTATTTGGGCTGTGCTGGAGCAGGCACAGGATGGAGATTTTGACCCAGAAACAAAGGGGGACCCTTTGGGGCATGGTGAGCTCAAAGGGTGATAGCAAGGAAGTGCAGGGGTGCTGAGCATGCATGTGGCACCTCTGGAACACCAGGGCAGCACTGGGGTCAGGCTGGAGCCTGTGAGCCTCACCAACCCTTGCTTGGGGTTTTCTCCTTGGCTGCAGCTTTTTGGGAAAGAATGAAGAGAGCCTATACTGGGAGCCAGGAGGGTGTTTTTTGGGGCTCCTCTCCCAAAAGTGTACATTGATTGCCCTCACTTGCATCAGTCAGGGAAAGTGTTGGGACGTTGTGGCCCCAGAGCACTTCCCAAAGCCCTGGGACTTGGCAAAGGGGAAACTGAGGCACGGAGTATTTGTGTGTCCTGAGCAGCTGCAAAGCTGCTCTGGCCCTGCTATCAGCTGCTCCCAGGTGCAGTGAAAACTGGGGACTGTGTCCCTCCTCACTGCTGGTCCCCTTCTGGAAGGGAGCTGAGCAGGGGGACTCTGCTCCAGGCTGGGGAAGGTGATGTGTATTTTCCCTTCCCCTCTGGGAGGATGGTTCAGCATTTGGCAGCTGAGCTCAGAGTAAATTCCATCCTGTTCAGCTGGTTGGGGCACCTGAGGAGATGGGTGCTGGACTGTGGGGGGAATGGGGATGCTGCAGTGAAAGTGTGTGCAGAGAGTTTAGTGCTCAGTTTTTCCTGTGGTAACCTGGAAGCTCATCACCAAAATGTATGTTTTGCTTTTAGAAAACCTCATTTTTCCTCAAAGGTATGTGAACAGGAAAATGTGATCCAGCCCTCCAAAAAATCTTTACTTCTGGATGGAAAATATTTTTTTCACTGTTTTTGAGGGTGTGCTGAGCTGCTTTCCTCGCACACATGTGCAGAGCACTTTCCTTGCTGTCAGTTGAGAGCAGTAAGTACTAAGTTCATACTTGGCTCCCAGGACACCTGCAGTGGCCCTGCAGCCTTGTCCCCACCAGCTGGGCTTTTTTGGGACACCCCCTTCTCCCAGACAGCTCCTACAGTGCCTGTCTTCTGGGTTGTTTCTGCCTGTATTTTGGCTGTCTTATAGCACATGCGTTGTCCTTGTGCAGGTGCCAGTTTGGAAGAGCTGCCACTGTTGTCACTTTTGCTCAGCTTTCTTTCCCTCTGTGTGAAACCCCAGGGTGCTGGAGGCATCAGAGGAGATCAGCAAAGATGTGGCCACTGTGGGGACTGGACCTGAACCGAGTCCGCTGCGACCTGCACTTCACAGAAGCCATCAATCAAAGGATGCAGGTTCCCAACAGGCTGAAGGTAGCAGAGAGCTGCAGCCCTGTGGAAAAGGAGCGAGTGACAGAGGATGTCCCTCCTTCCTTTCGGATGCACATCCCTGATAGGATTTCTCTTGCAGGTAAAGTCCTGGACTGTCTGGTTTTTGGGGTGGCTGAAGGTTGGATGGGGCACTACAACATCCTAGGGAGTAGGATCCCTTTATAAAGACCCCAGTCATTTGCTTTGCAAGAGGAGAGAACAGGGGCACAAAATGCAGTCAGCTTTCTTCTGGAAGGTAGGACAGAGTGGTGGAAAGGTGCTTGGGAAGAGGTGGACAAAGATGACCAACAGAAGGCAGGAGCGGTCTTAGTTCCAAAAGGTGAGGAGCAAAATGTGGAGGCATCTCCCTGTTGGCCTCTGGTAGGCTCTCTGCTTTGGGGTGCAGGACATTTGACCCTGTCTTTGAAAACCAGCACTGAACCCTTGCTGTCCTGAAGCAGGGGATGTGCCTCCCTGGGCTGTGCTGCTGCTCAGAGCTGCAGGATGAGGTTTTTGAATGTCTGATACTACACATAGGCTTGGCTCTCCTACATGGGTGGATTTCTCTTCCCTCCTCTCCTGGGGCCATTCAGGTTCGCTTAACTCTTCTCTCTCTCCTTTCTGTAGAAATATCAGATGCCAGTTTGAGGCCGGTCCCGCTGAGCCAGCAGAGGAAGGTCCCCTCTGTTGTGGTGCACATGTCCCCGGACCCCTGTGGGCAGCCCACCCCCCTGGGGGAGCTCCCTTTCCTGCACACACCCAGCAGGTCGAGCGCCCAGAGACGCAAACGATCGGTACTGTACTGGCAGGGGCCGGGGCTGCCTCTGGTGGGGAACGGGAGCAATCCCAGCTTGGGGTTTTTCCAGAGCTCTGTTATCACCC